ATCAGCAGCGAGTCAAAAAGGTAGTATACGAACTCTGAAAGTATCTGGGTGCGCTTCAGCGAATCAGGCTGCGAAAGTTTTCTGCCTTTGGCATTGGGTGGGCAAAGCCAAGCACAGTCGGTCACCTACGAAATCCGTCAGTCAATAGCGCCATAGACAAGGGAGGAACAAAAAAACTTACTTTCATGCCCTGCATAACTTCGTGCAATGACAAAGTTTCGTATCTTCTTAGATTAACGAATCTATCCACGCTCCTCATAAAAGACTCTTCATTCACCTCGCTCCCCCAGAATTCCACGGGAACAACATTTGAAATCACGGCTCTCGCAAAGGCGGAGGCCTCGCCAGTCGAGGAGGCAAAGTCCGTAAAACTCACCTTTGGCTTCAAGAGAGAAGGGTCTGATGAAGAGATCGAGATGGAGGACGGGAAGGGAACCTGGGAAATTAGCTTGCTCGTATCACTGCCAATAGCCCTTTCGACATGGGGTATGGAAACCCGGGTGTCGGGGACACCCTCATCACACAACTTTGAAGGTGATATCGTCAGCATATCAACCGAGCGGGGAGGAGATAGAAATAAATACCCAAACAGGACAGTAATACTTGATAAGCGCATGATATGAACATCTCCTATGCAGCCTCATCATCCTCTTTACCAGCTCGAACGTTTTCCCCTTCAACCTCTTGGGAATAAACGACCCATTTCCACATTGGAGTGCAATTTCGTGCTCACGAAGCGTGTAATCCTTGAGCGGCTGAATGGTCTCCTTCCTGTCCACGGTTGATGTAAAGACATTATGGAGGTTGAATTGCCTCGGGAATATATATCTCAACACATGTATTGCGTGGGTCTTGTCCGAAGGATTGGGAAAGCGATTGAGAACGTCTAACGCGTGCCACACACATTTAATTGATCGTTAGCAACGGTCCTCTCCATGGGCCCCTGATAGGCGAGAGAAAAGAAAGATGCATCACCTACGTATATGACGTAAGCCGAATACGACCTCCCCGCGGGCATTGTAGGCAGGTTTCGAGTAAAACATTCGAGACCTCACGAACATTATCTCGCCCAGCGTCCTCAAATCTCGGCATTTACCAGTGGCCACGTGACCGGGGCTTCTCGTGGGGGCAGTTTCTCTGCTGGGGCCATTGGCATTAGTTATCCTGGCCCGTTTGGCATCGACCGCCGAACCAATTTCCGTCGCGGAGCGTTTCAAGGATCGACCGACGGAGCGGGCCCTCACTGATCCTCCAGAAGTGGGGGCAGAGCTTTCCGGACCATCTTGCGGAAGAGGCTTATTCAGAGAATCGGATATTGGAGGGCCTGGATAAGGAAAGCGGTGATCGGGTTAAAATTTGATCAATACAAGGCGCGATAAGGCTCGCGTGAGGCAGTGCGAGCGAGACCGGTTCGCCGGTATCGTACATTGGGCTCGCTTCGCCTTCTGCGTGACACGGAGGAAAGGGGGATTGAGGGGGGGAAAAAGAAAAAAAACGGTGGACCCGAATGGTCGGGTATCGGCCTTGCCAAAAGAGGATGTTGTGCATGGATATTAAGAAAAAGGCTAGGGCACGGAAATTGGGGGGATGCGACCCACCCTTTGCGGTAAAAGGCTGGCAGAGAGGGGGAGAAGGAGGGAGGGAGGGACAGGACGGGATAAGATGGCGGTGGATTGGATTCACCTACCGGCCAGTTGATAATAATTGCTTTTATATACGTCATCACCCTCATCCAACCCTACAAAGATGCTCGTGTTGAGAAGCAGATCCAGCATGGGCTCCTCCCCTATCACCTTGAAGACGGCGCTCCATAGCCTCGATTTGAGGGTTGTAACGTGGGTATTCGGATAGAAGTTCACAACGCTGATACCCAGAGGCCCCGCGTGAAACTTGTGAGTGGAGTGGGTGTTGTTGTTGATCCTGTAACCTTGGGCGAGGATATTGTTGGGCTTCCCCGGGTAGACAGCTTCCAGCGGCCTGGTGTTTGAGCGATAAAAGAGTGTGTGCAGGGTCAAATCGACAATCTATCATACAGGCAGGATGGTTAACCAGCCGGGGTGCGTGCAGGTACGGGAGGGGCTCGTTTGAGGGCGTACCGTACCTCGCTCTGGGAACATGTCGGGGGACGGGATCCCCCGCTAAGTTGGGTAGCATCAGCAACATCCAACACCGCGCCAACACCAATATTTCTTCTCAGGCCGACGAGAGTGGTGTCCAGATGCGCTAGCAGTTCGGCATCCGTCTTCTTACTAATTGCATCGAGCCTCTTCAGGCGACCGGGTCTGCACGAGCAGACGAGCACATGCCTCAGGTACACACGGAGTGAGAGCAGACAGGGAAAGTACTGCGAAAGGACAGGATGTTGGATGGAGACCGGAGCAGGAATCTGGCGGGACTTTGTATCCGGGACGGGTGGGGGTCCGCTTGTCGTCGTCCTCGGCGCCGCATCGCTGGGCCCGGGTGGCATTGTCAATGATGGTGGTTGAGGGTATGCCTTTACCGGCGGCAATGCTGTTGGGGGTGAGTGTGGATGGAGACGTAATCGCTTCGGTCTATGATTGTCGGGACCAGCCTCACTATTGGCAGGACGGGTCCCATTGGACGGGAGTCTTGCTCGCTTCCTTTTCCCACCCCCCATTGGATTTCCGAGTGAGCTCTCAAGATCCAAGGCGGAGGGAGACAGCGTTGTGGGGGAGGGATGGATTCATGTTTATTATAAGAGCGCAGAGCGAAAAGGGCATCGAGATGATGGGGGGACGTGTCTGGGATGGGGGAGCGTGTAAGGGTGAGCACTGTACTGGCGCGTCTAGGGTTCGGGAAATTTAGAAAGGCGTCCAGAGAAACACGATTGGGGGCACCGTCCCAAATTTAAAACACACACCCTTCCCTCACCTCTCCCTCCTTCACCAGTCCTTCACCAAAAGGATGATAGCCTCTGACCCATCCCACTGCCAAGTACGGTATGGTGTTCCCCCTGGCCCGGGCTTGAATTGTACGAGCACTTGTAATAGGAAAGAAATGAAGCAGCCAATTGCAGGGCGCGAAAGCCTGGAAGCTATCCGGGCAGCCCCTAGCTGTTGTGCTTCACCACCCGGTCCTGTCAGTGGGGGAGCACTCTGCAAAACATGACAGTACGGTGCTCGTGTAGGTCTCTGCACATTTTTTTCGTAGCTATAGTCTAACCCATCGTCACTCTCCCTCAATCCCCAACCCACCGACCCCCCTTGGTTCGGTGCAAGTGAGATTTCGCCCTACGGATTTGAGTGCAGTACCGGTACTGTGCAAGCCTTCATACATATCGTACACACATACCGTGCGAGGTGACCGTCCGGCGAGAACAGAGCTTTCCGTCAACAGCCAAGCGGATGCGCTAGGAACTTGGACGTCGCCGCCGCCGCTTCCAGAGATTCGAGCGGAGATCGGAGGGCGGTGGACAGGAGACCCGACATTTTTTGACTCCCTTCTGCCTCTGCTTTACACCTGTTTACCTTTTTGCCCCCTCCCTCTCGCAGCAATTCATCGACCACCCAGATTCTGCTCCCTCAGTTACTTGATCCAGAGAAAGCTCTGCCAGCTCTGCGAACTTCCTCTCTGAGGCTCGGCCAGGTTTTGTCTTCACAGCCCGTATCGGACACGGGGGCCAGAAGCATTGCTTGCTAAGCATCGACCCCCTCTACCGGACGGTATAGTACGAAGACTGTACCGGATTTACAATACAATTCCGTATCCGGCCCCCATTAGTTTTCTTTACCATTGTCTGTCTCCCTGCCATCCTACCATACATACCGTGTTATTCTGCACAGCTCGAGTGCTGTCCGCACAGTGGATAGGGTTGAGTAGCGTACCCGATAAGGTGCTGGACTACCGTAGGGGGCAGTAGCATTCACTTTAGGGTAAGTTGTGTGTTGTGGTGGGTTGCTCCGCTGGAGTCCGCCCCTTCCTTTCCCTTGAATCTCGTCCGCTTCGACACTCGTTTCCATTTTCCCACACCTTTCCCAATCCAGCAGCGACTTCTTGGAAATAGGAACGCTCATTGCTGGTATTCTCCGTTTAAAACCTCAAATACTGATACAATCAGCTCATCGCAGTGGTAGAGATTATATTGCGGTACTGCAACGTATAACACCTGGTACTCGGACGCTCACGCCTCTCGGAGGTACTTACTCTTGACTACAAAAAAAAAAAAACAATAGGTGGCCAGGAGCATTTATCGTCTCCCATCCGCTGATAATCACATCTCTCAAAGCGGAAAAAAAAGGATTAAAAAAATCTGCAGAGTAACGGGTACGGTACAACTGCTGCACTCGCACAGCACAGTCCCTCGCAATAGGCAACAACATTGAAGCAAGTTGGTAACCCACCTGCCCTTCTCTCTCTCCTCCTCTCCCCACTCCTTCCACGCCCGCCCATACACCCCACCCTGCCCTTTCCTTCACACCTCGCTCGCTACCTGACGGGGACTCTGATCACACGAGCAGCTGTCCGGAAGCGAGAGGATATCACGGTGGAACGTGGGGGGGATTATCCTCATAAATCTCCATTGCACATCACATCTGTAATTCTAGCACCTCGCTGACTGGCCGACCGACTGGCTAGCCGATTGCACTCGTTTTACTGCACCTTGGGAACGGCAGTGTCGAGAGAGCGTCTTCGCCGTACGAGCCACCGACATACGTCCGTTCCCGGCACAACTATAGTGCTGGCATCGTACCTGCGCTACCGCATTCCCGGTGCACACCCACCTCTCCTCCCACCACCACCAATACTGCTGCCACTACCGCTCAACGCTCAACACTCACCCTCAACCCTACCGACCGATAACCGCTGCTAAGATCCGCTTTACCGGTAGGACCCAAACCGCGAAACCAGCCATTATCCCCCACCGCAAACACAGGGCTAACACTTGAGAAGAAAGGGGCTCCCTTTCCACAATTCTTTGCGCCTTCCCCCTCCCTTCCTCCACCTTCTTCCTCTGAGCATCCCCCACATGTCCAATAGCAATGCCTTCGGGTAGCCTCCCCGCTGCTTCAGCATTCCAGCCCCCGGATCCCCAAATGCCGGAACAATCGTCCCCCGCTTCACCTTCCCCCACGAAGGCATCTCAACCAAGAGCTATTTTGCCTAAATCTTCTTCAATAAATTCCAAAACTAATTACATCTCACCCTACCGACAAACACCCCCGTCCTCAAGATCGGTTTCTTCGCCACTTGCCAAGTCCTCGACAATACCATCGACAACAAACGTTCACTCCCCTAATTTTAAGGACATTGTGAATCGATTCAACACAAAGCAGGACGAGAAAATTCCGAATCCCAGTAACCGCATTCCGGCTGTCGCCGCCGCCGGGCCCAATGCTGCTAGAACCCGAAAGCCACCGGCATGGAAGCCAGCAGGCGGTGGAGGTGGGCAAACGGGTGTGTCTGCACGGTCAAGCAATCAATCTGCGGCTGGAAGGAGTAGGGCCGGTGAGCGTTCCGGATCGACTCAATCCCATTCCATCTCGAGTAAGGGGAAGGGCTCGAGTCGGGCTCGGCGGCCCGGCACTTCAATGAGCAATGGTGTTGAAGAGGCTACAAGCGCTCGGCACCTATTACCACCATTGGATACATCTTTTGGCGACAAACCTTCCGGCCCAAATGGACATCGGCGAAGCCGCTCAGCGCTGGAAATTCATTCGCCTTCTGCAGCCTCACTAGCTGATACCGAAGGTGAAACGAGTAGCGCCGGATTTTCAGCTCATCCATTACGGCATCGGAGGAGCAGATCCAACGCGGACGTATTTTCTTCTCCTACTGATGCTATGGAGATAGACGCGATATTTGACCGGTCTGCTGCTGTGCCTCAGGGCCTGCCTTCCCCCCGTTCCGTTTCCACGGCGAAATCCAATATTCCAGTAGCAAGACACCCGCCAACTCTGGACTACGGGTATGGTGCTCGGAACGCCTCCCGGGCCACAAGCTTGGCACCTGCTGCGGTTTCCTCCCATGGCTCACGGCACCCCCCTCGACCTAGTGCTAGTCCTAGATTGGCGGCATATATCACTACACCCCAGCCAAAGAAATCACCGCCATTGAGGTCATCTCGTGGACAGCGTTTGCCAACTGCAGGTTCCGCGGCAGCGTCGAGACAGAAATTTCAAAATAATCAACAAAGCCCGTTATCTTATTCTAAGGAGACAAATCTTCAGCGCGGTAGAGGCGCGAGGACTTTTGAGCCTGAGAATAATCGAGGAAAGGACGTAAAAAAGAGAATCCCCGAGTTGGGTACTGTGGATTTTGCCGCCAGAAGAGCTCGAATTCAAAACGCTTTCAATGAAACTTTGAAAGAGACATCCGAATCGAAGACGAAGGTTGTTTATAAGGAGAGTTCTAAACAGAGTTTGAGAGGTGAGATGGTTGATGATCGTGATGGAGGCAGCAGTGAGGCAAGAGGGGGTTATCAGGAGAGAATCGAAGAAGAGGAAGAGGATGAGCTTGGGGAATCACCTATAAGCAATAACCTAGAGGTTGCTGCAAAACCACATGGGGAAGTTGTGCAGGACTCGGTTGATCCTGAGCCAATTGAATCCAAGTTCATCTCTGTTTTGCCTGCCAGATCTGAATCCATGGAAATGGGTGCCGAGTCGTACTTTGATGAGTCAAGAATCAATGATCTTTGGGATAGGCGACAGTCATTGTCCTCAAGCCTGCGATCGTCTCTTTCATCCTTTGACGAGAGGCCACCGCCAATCGAGGACCTACATGCTAACCAAATTTCTAGCTATCATCAGACCACGAACAACGGCGCCGGCAGTGCTGGGGTAAGCCCTAGCTCAGCTCAAGAGCCGCCTGTGCTGGCAGGGACAAGAAGTGAAGAGCCATCAATTCCCGTCATTGTCACACCCGACATGCCCTCGGGTTCTTTGCGACTTGTGCACATACCACAGCTTCTCAGACCCGATTCGACAATGACAGCATGGAGTATGGCGACCGGCCCAAATAGGGACTCTTCGGATATCAGAGATGGGACAGCACATGAGGTCGTTGGTTGTATTGGGTCAATTATTGAGGCTCCGGAAAGCAACCAACTAGAGTCGACCACGAGAACTAAGCCAGATTCTATTTCGGTGACATCCGATACTACAGAGAGGGCAAATCTGTCTCCGGTGGCCGCCACATCTGCGTCAAGCACACCTTTGGATGATAGGGCTACTATTGTTGACGTCTTCGACCATTACGATGAACCACGAGAAGACTTTTTGAAATCCTATGCTGATACCGAAGAAGAAGTGACGGAGTTTGAGACAGGAGCAGATACCGTGGACGATTGTGCAGATGACGTGAATGAGGAAACCGAGGACGCAGAGACCGAAGGAGAAACCGAGGAGGGTGTGACTGATGGAGAAACTGAGGAGGAGGAGGAAACTGAAGAGAGCGAAACCGAGACGGAGACCGAAGACGGTACGGAAGTGGAAGAGGCCACTAGCACCGAAGGCTACGATGATTATGTCGAAGATAGCGAACTGTGCGATTACACGTCTTGCTCTGATATCCCGAGCTCGGCTCGACCCAGCATTGGCGACCAGTCAGAAGGTTGGGAGACGACCTCGTCCCGGGCGAGCCCGGAGCTGGATATTCACCCTACCAAGAGACAGTTGATCCAAAGGCTTGATTCGCCAACCACTCCTCGACAGAGCACGGACGGATCGGAATTCCCACTTCCCCCAACGCCTCCCCCAAAGGATTACCACTTCTTACCCCCTGCACCTCCCGCGAAGGACCCCCCCAGAGCTGTCTCACCTTCCCCCTCAGCGATGAGCACTCCGCCGGTTTATTCTAGCAATAGAATGCCTCTACATACCCCGCTCCAATTGCCGGAAATTGAAAGGGATAATGAGCCCCTAGGACTAGCAATCAATGTCTTTCCCACCTACACTGAGCGAACATCCTCACCACTTCCTCCCCCGCCAGGTAGCAGATCCGGTCCAGACCGCTGGAACGCCTCTTCTACTATGGATCATTACGGGAACAATACAAGACAGAGCCAGGATTCACAGCATCCTTATTCTGGTAGGCAAAGCTTGGACCAATACTCGCATAGGCCAAGCCTGGATCGTGCACATTCTTATCCAGCCAAGCAGTCGAATTCTCCCTCTTCGAGTTTTTATTCAGAGCTGGAGTCTCGCCATAGCTCCATATCGGTTGGGCCTAATGGATACCGCCACTCGGAAACCCCAGCATCTTCCATGGCTCCAACTAAACGTGGGTCCTCTTCCATTCATTCTCAAGAGCACCCTGGCCCAAGGGAGGCTCCAGAGCAGAAGTTGTTGATCAAACGTCGCCACCTACTGAAGGAGTTGGTGGATACCGAGAGCTCTTATTTCCGAGATATGACTGTCGCAATGGAGATCTATAAGGGTTCTGCGAATGCTTGTTCCTCTATTACCCTTGATGATATAAAGGTCTTATTTGGAAATACGGATGCCATTGTGCAATTTTCGAAAACTTTCTTGGAGTCCCTGAAGGCGGCGGTAGGGAGTGTCTACGTTCTACGCAGGGCCCGAAGCGGTGTGAATAGCAGCGCTGTGAGCATAGCCAACTCGGCGAATAGTGGGGATGAAGACAGCAAGTCTAATTCCTTTGAGGACATTGCCACCGAGGAGGAGAAGGATAGGAGGACATATGTGGGTGAGGTTTTCATGGATATGTTCTACAACATGGAAAGGGTCTATGGTGAATACTGCAAGAACCACGACAACGCGGTTGGGCGATTACAAAAGTTGGAAGGTAACAGGGGTGTGGCCATTTGGCTGGCGGTAAATATCACCTTTCTGTGGTGATTCCTTTGGAATACTAATAAGGGTGTAGGAATGCAAAGCATGCGCTGAAGACCTCACGAACGCCTGGAATCTAGAATCTTTACTCATCAAGCCTGTCCAGCGAATATTAAAGTATCCACTTTTGCTTACTCAGCTGCTCGAATGCACACCTCGAAGTCATCCAGATTTTACTCAGCTAGAAGTGGCTGCCAAGGAGATGAAGTTTGTTGCAGATCGTATCAATGAAATGAAGAAGAGAAAGGACATGGTCGAACGAATTGTGGGCCGCAAGAGAGCCGAAACGGATATCCGTCATGGAATCACCAAGGGTTTCGCGCGCCGCGCTGAAAAGCTCAAGCAATCCGTGGGGTTATCCGAGGTTGTGGTGGACGATGTCTACAATAGGCTTTTCGAGAACTATAACATGCACTTTGTCCAGGTCCAGGTGATAATACGGGATATCGAGATCTATACCATGGATATTCAATCACACATAGAGAAGTTTCTGGAATTTACACAAACGATCAAGGAGTTTGTCGACATATCCCATACGCAACACCCTGAGATTGAGACAAAATGGAGAAAGTTTGATAGTGCTATGAAGGAGATGGCATCCACCTATCTGCAGGAGCATGTGAGTATTTCAAGGACCTGCACCCAATAATCCCTACTAACCGGGACAGAAACTTCGTGTACGCAAACATTCTATCGAGCCTCTGGAAATGCTTCTGAAAATGCACGAAAGCCCACAACGAATTATGACAAAGCGGAATAAAAAAGCGGTGGACTATGCTCGGTATAGGGCAATCAGGGATCGAGGGGACACTCCCGACAAGAAGTCTATCGAACTCGCCGACGCATATGTCGCGCTGAATGAAACGCTGATTGACGAGCTCCCCAAGTTATTTAGATTGACGAAGAAGCTTATTGATACCGTTTTATTAAATTTTGTTGAGTTGCAGGGTCTGTGGATGAATAGCTGGGCCGCCAAACTTCGTATGACCTTCACAGAAATGGAGATGCCCGCTGAGGTGGATAGCATTGTCAAGGACTTCATGGGCGATTTTTCGTATAACGAGCAGAGTCTCAATCATATGGGAATTTGTAATGGTAAGGGTTTATCATTTTTTTTTAAATTTTTTTAGTGAGTCTTGCAAACTGTCTAACGCTCGGGAACAAGGGACCTTGAAAGCCATGTTGTTACCACAAACCCAGTTTCTTTCACCGTCTTCGACATTATCTCTCGATGCCTTTGAATACCCACGGAGGCCGTCGACATCCGAAGGGAACGGGCTTTCCACAACAGGACGAGATAGAGCCTTGTCCTTAACAAGCCACTCCCCAACGGCCTTGAGTTTTGACAAGCCCTTTGAAGAGCGTCGTCACAGTGGCGGGTCCACCCTTTCACCCTTGATTGCGATGGGCCCCGTCCTTCCAATCGTGCCCCAGATAGCCAGTAACCCCCGGGGGCGGGCTGGGTCGGCGCACTTACAGAGGTCGCCAATGAGAATTACTCCACCAGTTCCTCAACGATCATTCTCAACAATGACAGCCGACAGACAGCTTCATACTCCAGTCACCCGTACCTATTCGCCATCTCTGCCTGATCGCCCCGGATCCAGGGCATATTCGTTGGCACCAACGCTGTTTGATGGCCCGGAAACCCAGACCGGCAACCCGACCTTAGTTGATTCAGGCGCGGGACCCCATAGCCGTTCTGCATCTCCAGCACCCACGCCAATGTTTTCGTCAGCAATGCCAATGGAGGACGACAGGGAGATGAAATCCGATAGTGAATCCCAGTCGAGAGACCCTTCGCGCAGTGCCTCGCGGGCGCCGTCTGTCGCATCATCATCAAGACAGAGCCAACGACGGGCATTGACATTATCCAATAACAGTACACCCATATTTGTTGTGGCTAGCCTGTACGAGTTTAACATTGATAAACAACGGAGAGAGGGTGGCTTCCCATATCTCACCTATGTACAAGGCGAGATATTTGACGTATGCCCCCCTGTCCCCTACCGGCAGACCTCTTCTAACAGCCTCATAGGTGGTGGGAACGAAGGGAGAGATCTGGTTGGCGAAAAACCAAGACGACGCAAATGGCGAACTTGGCTGGATCTGGTGCAAGCATTTCGCACGTCTTTAGATTTTTTTTTTTTTTTTCCTTTTCTCCTTCAATCATAGTGTACCCTCCTTCCACTTTCAATGTTCCTATCTACCCTGGAACCCCCTCACTGGAAATGGTGTGAAATCAAGGACAAATCCCGGATCTCGTGAATGCAATGACCCGGCTACGTGTTTTCTTTTGCTTTATTCTTCTTCTCCAGATCAAATCAGACCAAATCAAATTAAACAAATATACCTTAGCCAATTTCTTCTCTTATTTATTTCTTTTCTATTCTTTCTTTTCTCACTCTTTTCCTTTCCTTTACTGTTTTTTTTACTCATCTTATCATTGCAAAGCAATTTCTTTTTTATCCATATCTGTCTCCACCTATTCATTCACCTACCAACCTACCCATCTGTCAGAGCCTCCTCTCACTTTTTTTTTTCCTTCGCTTTGTTTTTCTTTGAAACCGGGTGTTGGGTGCATTGTTTTTTTATTTTTTATTTATTTTGTAAGCGTGTGGGCGGCGTCATTTTTAAAGGTAGTTTTAATATACCCTCTCATTAGCCTTATACTTTTTCATTTTCATCCATTTCTTGCAGTACAGTATACAAGTACGCTAAAGTAAGTAAGTCAGTCAGTTTGTAAAGCTAGTACCGGTAAATGCATTTTCATTTTCAGTTTGTGTGCGCTCCCGTTGTGTAGCTACGTACTGTACTGTAACTGGGTATTTTGTGATATTGGCTCGGATGAGGGGTTGCTGGATGATTCACTGGCTACGGTACAGTACCCTGTGAATTACCCTTCATTCTTCCCCCGCCCGCTCCTTTACTGACTAGTTGGTTTTCGGGTTGTTGACCTGGTCAGTGGGCGCTCACTTATTGCGTGGTATGTGCAGCACAGTATCATGATGGGTTAGTGGTGGATAGATGGTATAGCACAGGACAGTACAGTAACGTCGATGAATGCTATACCGCAATACAAACTCTTCGAGTGACTATACACGCTTGAAATTATGATTATCATAGACCCAGTCGCAGTAACGTATTCTACCTAGTGTTGTAACACTGTAGTAATGGAACACCACACAAAAATAAGACATGTCATGTAAAACCATATATTACAGTAGCTACAGTACTCAGAACCAGCTCATACCTATTGATTAGTATAGCATTTTGGTATAGATTACTTAGTTTCAGGCTTATCGCCTACAATAGTCATTGGAGATACTGTAGTAAAAAGTGTAGACAGAGTGAGAATCTGTGACTTGACTGGTTAAAAAAAATTTAAATTGGGATAAAAAATCATAAAATTATTCTGTTACCTGGTATAGGCAGATGTGGGTCTTGTCCTTCACTGGACTGTTGAACCTTGCTGTTTGGAGCTCTGAAGGGGACAAGTCATTGGTTTGAAAAAGCTGCATATTTCTTGTCTTTGATTACATAACTGACTAGCCGCTTCAATATCACCGGTATCCTCTGAAATCATTTCATCATATGGTTTGTCCTTACTATCATCCACCAATGTAGGAGCAGTATTACTAGTACTGGCTTAGGTGATAACTCCCTTCTGGATCTTTTTTTATTATTTTTACTTTATTTCTTTTTTTATATATTATGTTTAGCTTTTACCACAGTTTCAAGTTTCTTTCTATTCAGCTACTCCTGTTTTCAATACAGCTTTACCAAATACTTCATACTAAGTAGTAACCCTCCCAGAAGGTACCTGCAATCGGGTTTTTACAGGTTTCAGTAGTTGTCTTACCTTGGTGCCATTTGGAAAAGAGTTTTAATTGATATCAGTATTTAGGCTACAAGTGTGGGGTGCATATGTAAGAGTAAGGAATTAGAAGGATAAGGTGATTTATTTTATCTAGATGAACAACTAAGAAAAGATAGAGCTTTTCAAACTGATAACTTGTCTTTGTCAGCTCTCCAAACAATAGAATTCAAATTTCCGGTTAAGGACAAAACCTGCCTCTGCCTATGCCGGTAACAGAATAATTTTATGATTTTTTTATCCCAATTTTAAAATTTTCTAACTAGTCAAGTCACAGATTCTCACTATTTCTACACTATTTACTATAGTATCTTCCAATAACTATTGTAGGAAATAAGCCTGATACTAAGTAATCTATACCAGAGTGCTGTGCTGATCAACAGGTATAAGCTGGTTCTGGGTACTGTAGCTGCTGTAATTTATGATTTTACATGACATGTCCCATTTTTGAGTGGTGTTCCATTACTACTGTGTCCCAACACTAGGTGGAAGACGCGGCGTTAGTCTTTTTGACAGAATTTGCAACAACGGAATAATAATTGTGATAATAATAGTAATAATGGACACGATAGGTTGTTGTACATTCACAATTAGTAAATCTAGGGTGAAGAGAGCGTAAAGATAAATCACATCCTACTATATTATTGTAGCTCTAGTCAAGAAAAAAAAAAGCAGAGAAAAAAAAGGGGGGGTGGGTGGAAAGAGGGAATCGATTAAAGGTTCTCGATAGAAGCTAATAACTGCAAGGGGTCGAAATCTTCTTCGTCCTTGGTAGCGCTGAGGATGGTTTTTGCCCTAGTATTGTTAGTCGTGCCGTCAAAGCTAGAGCATGCAAATGGAGGGGGAGAGGGAGAGGGAGAGGAGGGGACAAAAGGTACCATTTCGTGGTCTGCCGTTCTTTAAGTTCCTTCTCTAATTGGGAGGATTTTACGGCTGCGACTGGATGGGTGTTAGTCTCTGGAGTGGAGGGGGTGAGGTTGGGGGAAGGGGTGTGGGAATCACCTTCTATACAGCGTTGCGGTAGGCCAGCTAGTCTCGCAACGTTCAGACTGGGGTTTTGTTAGGGATTGTGTTCACTTTTCTTGTACATGGATATCCGGGATAAAAGGGGGGGGTGGTACTCACCCATAAGATCTATGGGCTACGCCCTCACCAATTTGATATAGGAATGTGATGTTTTCACTTCCATCTTTGCTGACCAGTCAGTGGTTGACTCAATCTAGGTTGGAAAAACAGGGGGGTATTACCGTTAGCCTCTTCAAATCTCATGTGCGCGTTCGTCGCATTCTCCGGATACCGCTCGCCAAACCGCGCGAGCAGTGGGTAATGCGTGACGAAGAGACACATACTCTTGAGCTCGGTGATGGCGTAGTCGAGGACGGCGTTCGCGATGGCGACACCATCGTGCGTACTGGTTCCGCGGCCGAGCTCATCGAGGATCACGAGGCTGCGGTTGGTGGCCTGCTTGAGGATGTCGCTGGTCTCGCTCAGCTCCACCATGAAGGTGGACTCCCCCGCCATCATGTTATCGAAGGCGCCCATCCGCGTGAACACCGCGTCCAGCATGCCAACCCTCGCCATTGAGGCAGGGACGTAGCTGCCCACTTGGGCCATGATGGCTATCAGCGCCACCTGGCGCACGAATGAGGACTTGCCGCCCATGTTCGGCCCCGTGATGATCATTGCGCGCTGCTTGTCTGAGAAGAGGTGGATGTCGTTCGGGACGTAGGCGTCCAGGAGGAGCTGCTCCACCATTGGGTGTCGGCCTTCGCGCACTTCTATACATGGCTCCTCTGTGAACTCGGGCTTGACGTAGCCGGGTTGGTTGGCGACGGCTGCAAGAGAAATGAGGCAATCCAGGGTTGCGAGTGACTGGACGCAGTCACGAAATTTTTGGTATTTGGTCGAGATCTCGGTGAGAAACCCCGCAAACGCCCGGTTGCATTCCACAGCGAGCGATTCCTTGTGCTGGTCACGCTTGCGGAGTAGATTGGTTACTTCGGGTGTGTGGAACCGGGAAACCTTCCTCGTTCTGGTGGTTATTTAGTTGCGGGGATTGGGAACAATCGGGGTGCATGAACTTACCCGCTCATCTTGACCCAAGTTGCCGGCACGCTTTTCAGGGCGTTTTTCTCATTTGAGACTTCGACAAGATACTTGGGGTCGTTAGAAGATAAAAAAAATTAGTGGGGTTTGCGGGGTGTAATCTGCTATACCTCTATGCCAGACACACTGACGTACGTGACCTTTCTCTTCAGTGTCGTTTCAATCGCATTCAAATGCTTTCCTAAGTCACATTCAACACCAACGATCCCCTGGTTACGCATGTGGATTAGCTTTGCCACATGGTGATGAAAGGGGTACAAACTGTTTTATGTTCATCGATGGCTTCATAGTTTTGACCGTCTTTGAAAAAATCATACTTGTCATCTTTGGCTGCCTGTGCATGATTGAAGACATCGAGGTAGGCCTCCACATCTTCCTTAATCAGAGGAAGGTTCGCGAGAGCTCTATTTAAGATCTTAGAATTGAAGCCCGCGTCCTCGGGATTCTCAATAAGAGGAAAGGTGTTGGCTATTCTGTTTAATGTCTGCAGAATCGATAGAAGTTCTGGGCGAGAGCACTATCCAAGGGGTTTAGACAAGCACAATATCATTTGAGGCAAGAGGCAGACCTTTCCGTAGTATATCCGGATGAGGCCTTTTTCTAGGTCATAGGATATTTTTGAGAGCAAATCCTTCAATGGCTCTAACTTTGGACTCTCCCCGTTCTTGATCTCTTCAACAGCCTCTATCCTTTCTTCTAGACGCTCTTTATGCAACAAAGGCCTTCCGACCCACTTCCGGAGCTGCCTCTTCCCGAATTTTGTCTTTGTCCGATCCAAAGTCCAGAACAAGCTTCCCTTAGTTGAAAAATCAGTCTGATTGCGGTAGATCTCGAGACTTGATAAAGTGTTGCCATTGAGTAACATGTGGGACCTCGCGCTGAAGGATTTGAAGTATTTTGTAAGGTCAAAGATGTGTTCGAGCCCATAGCTAGAGAGATGGGTTATGAGCGCCGAGAGGCAGATGGTCACAAGATCTGGTAGATTCATGACAAGCTCTAGAAGTCCTGCTCAGCAGTCAGTACATATCTCTATTCAATTGAGGCCGTACAAGGGTCACAAACTGTTTGACTCTGCGGCATCTGGCGAATCGGCTGATTTAAGCTTATCCGCATAGAATTTGGTGACATGACTTGGAGCTAAGATTTTCGCATCCCTCTTGTGCTCCACACGCTCTATACGTATCTGGTCTCCAAAAACAGTAGTCCTGCCTTGATGTTAGCCCGCAAAGCTCGCATGAAGCACTCGTATATTGGGGAACTTACGTGCTACCTGCTAGATGAGAAACCAATTTTTCCGTAGCTTTTGTCAATTCTCCAACGATAAGGAATTCGCAAGGCGCGACTAACGAAAATGGGTCAATTCTAATACTTGGCTCCTAGGATTATTGTGTGTATCTCACTATGTAATAATCTGGTCTCGATTTCACTTCTCATAAAACCATCATCGAATTCATCATATATCACGTCCCCTGTCGCGGGCTGCACAGCGACAATCCCTACGTGCGCCCTCTCATCCGTGCCTGTGCCGCCTCCGGGCTTCTCGGTAATACAGAGCATAAACCCGGTGCCCGCAGCTCCCCCACTTCCGGCCCCTGCGGCCAGATCGCCGTCCAACCCGTCCACATCGTCAATGTATGTGCCTTTAGTATATAGGTTGGTCAACTTTCTCTCAAATGGCGCGTTCCTATTATCTCCTGCCGCCTTGAGAGCTGCCGTTTCCACCTGACGAACCACTCCAACCTTATGGCCAGCAGTCACCAGCCGTTTTACATGGACGTGAAGACGGTGGGTAGGGATACTGGCTGAGGCAAATTTGTCGAGATGTGCTTCTGATAAGTGCTCGTCGAATCGCATCTTACCCGGAATACACATTATGCTCAAAACCTGGCTCGCAATCCTCGCATCCTCACCAAAAAACCTGAACTTATACCCCACCTCGACCACCAGCAGTGTGTCGGGATTTTTCCTCTTGATATCGACCACCTGTCGTTCCAGCGGGGTAAGCTTTTTGCCGCCCTTGGGTGGAGCTTTCCCTTTTGTGCCCCCCCCAAATCTCTTAGCAATCGGCCCTGGTTCATCATCCTCTGGCTCCTCGGCATCATGCTCTGGCGCTTCTCCCTCCACCTCTACCCCAGAAGTGTCGAGTATAGAGCCCGGCTTCCCCAGTTTCTGTACGAATCTCTCATGCAGTTTCTCCCTCCTCCTCTTTGTTGTCGGATCAACAGGTTCACCATCTAGGTCTGTGGCATCCGCGAAAGGGTTGTAGAGATACTTGAGCGTTTTTCCCGCATCTGCCACCTTCTTCGTTTGGAATGCCACTGCCGGGGCTAAGAAGTTTGGCGCCTTTTCTCTTGTCTCCTGGTTCTTCCCCTCTGGCTCTAGATTTGCCGCCGGTTGAGGGCTCCTTCTCAGTTTCTTCGTTGCAATACTGGTAGTCCCTGGCTTGCTGTAGTAGTCATCGTCATCCGTCGCTTGCTCCGCATCTTCGACGTCCTCGAGAACTCGTTTCCGGGTTGTCCTCCTGCGAGTCAGTGGTGGGGAGTCCAGTTCTCTCTCGTTCTCCTCTTGGTCGGCGGTCTCATTCTCCTTCTCCTCGCTAGGCTTTGCCTTCCCTATCGTAGGTGTAGGATGTGAATTGTCGGCGCCGGCCTTTACTGGGGATTGCGTCGGGGCAAAGAAGCTGGATATCGTGCGCTGACTCCCCTGCGAGGCGTTGTTGGGGGCTTTTCTGGGGGTTTTGGATTTGCCCATGGTTCCTGTTCTTTGGTGGTTGGAGAGGTTTCGACTTGGCCGAGGAAACTGACGCGTTGAGGTGGCAGAACAACGGAGACGCGTTGGGAGTGAGCTTCACGCTAGTCACAATCAGGGAGTCAAATTGCCTTTTAAAGGGTTAGGGTTGCTTATAATTTGGGGAGTACTGTAGTGCCCTACGATATCATACCCGTAAGCTACAGTACTTTCCCCCGCTAGCAGTGTTTTCTTCCAGTGGTGATATGGGCCGGAACAAATCCTCGGGCAATTATGAGCAAGAACGACAAAAGACTGCCGTATAGTACTGTACCTCTCGTTCCGCGAAGACTTTGCGAATGGGAGTGTACTGTACGGGCACTCGAGCAAGTTCGTGCACTTCCGAGGCCAAATGAGGCCAAGCCTTGTTCTCGAAATTTTCAGTCCCGTCCCTAGTTTGCCCTGCTCGCCACACCATAAAAATGTTGCTTTTACGGAGTACACCTCCTGTGGCATTTTTATAACAAACAAAATATTTTAGAACTAGACGTTTTTGGTTCTGAATCGGCTTACAGGCCTCCTACTAATTTTTTTTTCCACCACGGGTGCTATTAGGCCAGTTGCTACGGTCTGCGGAGACGGTTTTGTTGGGTACTTTGGCCAAGCGGGTTCGATCCTCGGCGGAGATTGAATTCGCGAGAAAAATGATATTTTTCGGATTGCGGCCTGCCGGACGGGGTCTCAGAGTTAAGCTGGAATGCTAGGGGTATTATGAATAGTCACTCGTGATACTTCCCATCCTGTTTGTTGGATATATTACTACCACGTTTGCAAAGCTATTTTACAATTTCTTGCGCCTCGAGAACAATGCCTATTAACAATAGATATCATAACTATTTTCGGATATGCTTCTGGGGATGCTGTACGCTTGTATCACGATTTGTTTTTATTGACGTTCATTACATCCAACTTCCTTTTTTGAATCCTATAGGGTCTGCTACCACTCGGAAAGGATAGACTAGGGAAATTATGGGTAATTGATACCTAAGATACGCTTGTGAGGGCGACTGGTGAGTATGATGCGCAATTAAATCGCTTGCGTGGCTTCTGACTGAATTACATCTCCCTTTTGTATTCTGCAGTAGACTACTCAAGTCGTGGGATTGGAGCTGAGTATCTTTTGGCAGTAACAGACAAGGAGGGGCCCGGCTCTAGTCCGGCTACTTGAGTATTTTCTGTCTATAAGAGAGACATGGAGATAGTGGAAATAAAATTGGGGCCGACGGGTTGGATATACTGGTAGGAGAGAGAGAGAGAGAGAGAGTAGAGGAAGATTGAATCAAATATATAGGGCAAGGTGGTGTGACTAACGTAGGTCAAAGGATAAGAAAATGTTTGCTTTATAAAGCAGTCTTTAGCCAAACCAAGCCCGTCTAAAGCCTCCAAGTACCACCAGTAACCGTCTAGCATAAACTTCCATCAGAAAAAGGTGCATCAAACAGCTAACAAGAAGAAAGGAAAAGATGACCAATAGTAGGACATAACCCGAGCTGTTGAATCTCTGGGTCACCTTTGGGGCTGCGGTTGTATTATCACTACTGGCACCTGTTTGTGTATTCCCCGAGAGATTCTCAAGAATATCGACCAGCAATGGCGAAAGATTAAACAAGGAGTCGACAATGGCTTCAATCTCATCCTCTTCGCCGCCACTGTCGGAGTTATTGTCAGGCAATAGCTGGCTGATCCCTGAGTACATCGTGCGGGCGTCTTGGAGTACAGATTGGCGTTCATTGAGTAGGGTATCTGGGGCAAAAATGGTTGAGTATTAGTATCAGAGAATGGGGAGGGGGTTAGGGAGAGATCGAATAATCACCATTGGGGTGTGAGGCTGGAGTAGTAAGGATGCTGCAAAGATCTGCCAGAAGGGTGACTGTGGCCTCCCGTAGGATTGGTGATTCTTTGAGGATTTTGTCTAGCTGACCACGGGGTGTGTCATACTCGTCGATCCACAATCTGAATCTACCAAGATGCCGACGCTGGGTTGGACTACAATCAACTGGGAGCGCGCGGATACAGCAGCTGGTAAGACGGGTGACTAATGGTTCGGAAGGAGGCATGGGTAGTTCAGCGGGTTTCTGGCCCTCCATTGTGGACGGTGGGGGGTTTTCACCAATATCAGGCGATTCAGGAATTGGCTCTTGATTTGTTGGCATCCTTGCTGGTTTTTTGGAGACTTGTAGGTCAGCGGGGGGGAGTGGTCCGCCTTTGAAAATATTATCTGAACGGAGACCAGGGCCAGGCAATGGTGAGGAAATTATATCCCAGTCCGCTTCCGGACCGTGCAGGAACGGGTGTTGTAGGATTGGCGCACGAGAGACGGGAATGGGCGGGTTGAGGAGGACCCTCTGGTTTAATACCCCGACAATAGTAGTGTGGCCATTGATAGTAGCCCATTCAACGGGCGATCGCTCATCGATGTCTACCAAGTTGGGGTCCACCTCATAGCGACTGAGGAGAAGTTCGACTACTTCCTTGTGTCCATTGAGGCTGGCCCAAAAGAGTGGTGTTCGTTTGTTAATGTCTTGCGAGTTAGGGCTGACATCGCCTCGGGCTAAGAGCACTTGTACTATTCCCAGATGCCCCTTCTTAGAAGCCAACGAGAGCGGGGTTTGGCCATATTTATCTCGTGCATCAGCCATGGGGTGTTCGCGCTTAAGGAGTTGCTCCAGTATTGCTTTGTGCCCATTTAATGCAGCCCAAAGGGCGGGTGTTCGCTCGTCATTGTCTCTTATAGTTGAACAAGTTTTGTCATGACGAAGTAGCGCCGCTACTATTCCATCGTGACCATTTGCGGCTGCCCACGAAAGGGGTGTTCGTCGATCATGGTCAGCTACATTGGGATTAATGTCTTTCCAGTCTAGCAGCAGCTTCACTATCCCCTCGTATCCCTTAAGAGAGGCCCAAAGCAGTGGCGTTTGCCCCCCGCTGTGCGGTAGGTTTGGGTTTATATCTTTCCTGCCTAGAAGCAGCTTGACCACCCCATCATGCCCGGCTTCGGCGGCCCACGATAGTGGCGTTCGGCTGTCGACATTCATCATGTTAGGATTTGCGTCGTCCCGGCTCAGGATCGCCTTCACGATCGCCTCATGGCCATTCCTAGAAGCCCACGAGAGAGGTGTTTGACTAAGCTTATCTCCTAAGCCAGCATTGGCCCTTCCGTGGCGAAGAATCATATCCACCATATTGCCATAGCCACTCTCAGCAGCCCACGATAGGGGAGTCCGGCCACGGTTATCCTTTGCATTGGGATTGGTCAGTGGTCGTTCCAGCAGCAGCCTCACCACACCTTCGTGCTTGTTTTGAACGGCACGGAACAGTGGTGTCCGGCCGTGGTTGTCTGGAATGTTGGGGCTGATGTCAACCTGAGCCAGTAATAATTTCAATATTTCTTCATTCCCACTCTCAGCAGCCCAAAAAAGCGGTGTACGGCCATGGTTATCTCCTATATTAGGATTAGTTGACAGACCTAGCAACAGCTTTACTACCCCTTCCCGCATGTTCCGAACTGCCCAGAATAGTGGTGTTTGATGGAGGTTGTCCCATAAGTTCAGATCGATACCTCCACGAGTCATCAATAGTTTTACCACCTCCTCATGTCCACTTCCGGCGG